TGAGGGCCTCACCGGTGGCGAAGCAGATGAGCGCTGGGCTGCAAAGCTACCCGCAGCCTCTGCAGCACCAGTTTGATCCCTGGCCACCCGGCAAGGGTCCCACATGGCGCACAGACCTCTCCTGCCGCCCGCTGCTCCCCTCAGCAGTGTATTTCGTCAGTCTGCCTGTTCTGTTCCCTGCTCTGGCTCTGGTGAATTCTCTCACCCTCCCACGCTTCTGACTGTACCCAGTGCTTGTATAAATAAATAAATAAATCTTAAAAAAAAAAAGATACAATTTTGAGAATAATAAGAATGTTTGTCTTCTGTATCTCAATTCTGGCAGGCTGCTTGGACATGAAAATAAGTCACCTTTTCTTCCTTTTTTTAAAAGAAATTATTTTCTTAAAGTTATAATATCCTTTTTATTTGTTCAGTTACAAGTATAGAAAGTAATTCAACTCTTGCTCTCAAAAGAACTAAAGAAATGAAAAATAAACTGTAAGTTATCACAAGTGTTTAATATGAACTTATTTGTACTTGTTTTAATTGACTGCTTGCTATAGAAAATATGGAAAGGCATAATCCTAATTTAAGCACATTGATTTAAAAAATAAATTATGGGCCCTCCCTGGTGGCACAAGGGGTTAAGCATTAGTGCTATGAAGCTGTCTGCAACTAATGAGGCACGCGTTTGATTCCCCCGCCAGGGAGGTGACCCACCTGGCACAGCAGACCTCTCCTGTCTCGCCCCTCTGCTCGCCTCAGCAGAGTATTTCACTTAATCTGCCTGTTCTGCTCCCCACTCTTTCTCTGGAGAATCCTCTCATTGCCCCACACCTCTGGCCTGCACCCCAGCTCTTGTATACATAAATAAAATATAAAAATAAAATTAAAAAAATAAATTATGTAATGGCAAGGTAGGAACTCTTTTTTTTTTCATTGCTAGAAAGCATTTTGGGAAGGCAGAATAATTGTATTTTTGCATATGCTATGGAGTCAGTGCCTTTGTTTAAATTCAGGTCTCACTCTGGGCCTCCCTGGCGGCGTAAGGGGTTAAGCACCGCACTATGAAATAATCCACAGCCTCTGCAGCACGAGTTCGATCCCCAGCCAGCCAGGGAACAACCCACATAGCACAGCAGACTTTTCCTGACTCCCCCGCTGCTCCCCTCAGCAGTGTATTTCAGTCAGTCTGCCTGTTCTGTTCCCCACTGTCTCTGGTGAATCCTCTGAACCCCAGTTCTTGTATGCATAAATCAATGAATCTTTAAAAAAAAAAAAAGAGTTACAACCTCTAAAAAAAATAAATTCAGGTTTCACTCCTTATCTGTGAGAATTGCATTTATTTATTTATTTATATCGAGTTAGCATTGGTTTACATCATTGCTTCCATTATAGTAGTGTAGGATACTCCCTTCAGGCATTGTTGCCACAGTGCACCCACTACCAAATACCCCATAGTCCATAACCATAGACCCTTGTGCTCCCTCCCTTTTTTGTTCCCATCCCTCCTTGCCCTTCCTCTCCTCATCTAGTTCCCCCATTCCTATGAGAGTTTTAGATAAGGTATTTAATTTTTCTGCATCTTAATTTTTAATTTTTTTAAAATTTTCTGCATCTTAATTTTCCTCATCCAAAAATGGGATTCATATTTGGAGTCAACTTGTAGAATTGTCGTGCCTGATACATGCAATTTCTTAGGAAATATCAGCTGTTACTTTTAACTTTTTGCTCTTCATATTCCTGATAAGAAAGCTGATACCAAAGGGTGAAGTGACTTGGTGAGCTAGGAGTACAGCTCATTTTGTGATTATCAATCCACCCAAGATGGCTGGTAAAGACTATTGAGGCAAACACTTCCCACTGAGGAAAATGAAGTGTGCCTTTTCTAAGAGGGAAACATTTTCTAATCTACACATTAACATGAAGCATGTTTGATTTTGAAGCATCTGGAAATCTGGAATAGACACATCTTTGAAAATGAGGGCTTTTTTTTAATATACATGCATCTTTCTATTTGACAATTTAAAAAAAATCAAATGTGAAAATCCAACATATGTTGATCATTTAGATTGCACACATAAGAGCAAAGAGTATATATTACAAAAGAAGTAACTTTTATGCCTCCTGAAACTTCTCAATATACTCTGCTATTTCTATCAACAAAGTATCAAGTTCTAGGTAAACAATTCCACAAGATTCTTGGGACAATGCTATTTAATTTAATTTTAATCTTTTCACCAAAAACAAAGCAAATACAATTTGTAGTTTAAATGGTTCTGATATAAACCTTTTTAATGATTGAGAGGCAAAAAAAAATAGTGTGTCAGATTTTATATTCTATTTTTTTTCAAATATGGAAAATAAAGGCAAAGATGGATTTTCACTTTCTGTAAGCCTATTCAGACTATTCTTTCTCTATACATCAGTGTTACTTTAAGAACCCAGGACATGCTACTTGAATAGAAGTTTCCAGAGGCTCTCTATTTTAATTTTTCAGAGTTTGGAGAAGCAACATCCATCAACTCCTCCAACTTTTGAGAATAATGTTGTTTTTGTTATACACAGGATCTATTTTTGAGCTCCAAAATACACAGATTTTAGACTATATGCTTGCAGACCAGTCAGCATAATGCCCCATTACTATTCGTACCTTTAGCAAGATGACTTCATTTTAGCAGCCTGTTCTGGTTTCTACATTCTTCCAAGTTTCACAGTTCAGTGCAGTCAAACAAGGTGATGGCATTTTTAAGGCTCCAGATTTTATTAGTCTACAAATTAAGATAGGTGGTCAGGTGCTATTTCAGGGGTTCATCTGGCAACCTTGTGCTAAATTTAAGCACATTGAAACTAAGAGGGTTATGATTTTTTTTTATACTGGAAACATAAATATTGGTATTTATGGAAATGGCTGCTGTAAAGGAAATGATTTCACATGTCATTAGCTGAAATAAGATTATGGGGAGGTCCTACTTTTATCTGAATAACCATTAAAACTTGGGGCATATTATTTCTCAAGAAGTATTTATTAGAATCTAAGCAATGCGTGTTTGTATTTAAGCCTTCTATTTATTGGATTCTTATAAAACTTTATATATTAATTATTTCACACATTACTTGTACACTTTTCTATGAACATATAATTTCCTTTGAAGATATAATCATGTCTGAAATAGATACATACCAAGGTCCATGCCTGCTCTTTATCTTTTGCTCAGGAATAAACTGCTCAATAATGGACCATGGCTACCTATGAGAAAAAGAATCAGTTAAAGATTATGGTACTTCGATGTAGTGAAGAAGAGACATCTGGAATCACAGTACTTGAATTCTCAGCACTAGTGACAATGTGGGACACAAGGGAAAGGTCTAAAATAGTAGCAAGAGTAGCATCTACTCATAGGCTGGTGCATATTAAATGAGACAATACATGCAAAGAGCTTAATAACAACATGGACAGAAGCTAATATTTATCTACCCTACCTCTGTGATAGATTACTCTGCCAATTACCATGCTTTGAGCTTTGCAAAACAACATACAAGCAAAAGATATCATTAAATGGATCATGTGTACATACATTTATGTATATAATTTGAAATGTTTATAACTAACTGTAACTAAAAGCTGGGTTATTGTCCTTACAAAAGTGGTTGCTTTGTTTGCTGTACTCTGCTTTGGTTCAGTGATTTTGGAATTTTTTATGTTAAATTTGATAATTAAACTCTCTTGTCTACTACTTTGTATAATTTTCCATTTTGTTCATTGAATTCAGCATAACACATTCTGTGTGAGAATGGACATTCAAAGGCAGAGTTGACCCTAGGTATCTATTAGAAAGTCACCTCTTCCTGTGTCTAGTTCTGTCCTGGGAAGGCATGCAGCTAACCAAGTTTTGTAGAACATTGAGTACAATTCACAATAAAAAAAAAATAAGAAGTTTCAAAAGCATACTATTAGTGATATAGAAAATAAATTACTTGTGGTTTTCAGACAAGCTTTAAAATGAGTGAGAAGAAACTTGGTTAATCTTAAAATTTTTGTTTGATTGAAAATGCTCAAAAATTAGGTTCAAGTAATCATTTTTGACATAGAAATTTTAGGGTATTAGGCAGCATAGACAAGAGAAAACCAGGGACTCTCAATATTCATAAGATGTTTGCATCCATTTAAAGTAGAATTAATTCATAAGACATTTATCTACACAATAAGCATTAATGTCCTCCATTATTCTGGCTACTCCTCTTATTCTAAACATATTTGTAGGCTGAGAGCCTGATTTCTTGGTTTTATAAATAATTCATAAATTCATAATCTCAAATTCTCATCTATAGTTAAATCTCTCCTCTTCTTTAGACCCAACAGCATACTCATCAGGTCCATTCTTTTTAAGAAAAATAGTCTGGATTTCAGTTGTCATCAGGAATCAGACATCTTGCCATATAAAACTTTCCTAAGTAGCACATGAACATTTTTATCAGAAATGATTTGCTTTTGCAATTTAAACATAGCTGAATCTTTTTCTTTTTTGTTTCGTTAGAAAAGCATAAAATAGAAAGTAACTCAATATTCTGTTATTTTCTTATGTTCATTCAAAATAAAATAATCATATCTTTGTAACTAATAACTCCATACATAAGCAAACTATGTATGACACTAAGCTTACAGAACCACAGATAGAAAACTAATATGGAGGAAGTTGCCAATAAAAACATGCTTTAGATGCTTCTTTTTTTTTAAGTAAAATCTATAGGCAAGAAATGGCTATGTTAGAAAATGTAACATTCAATTCAATAAGTTAACATATTGTGTGAACCAATAGATGATACATTGTTGAATGAATAATGCAATGAAAAAATGCTTAACGTCAACAGATTGTGATACAGTGGAAAATGGTAGTATGGTTTAAGAAAGAGCAAGTTTATAGAATCATAAAGTTATAATTTTTATCTTGATTGGGAGTTAAATCCAACACTTCCTTGATTCTGGTCTTCTCTTTCTTATCTTATCTGTTCCTTAGAAACAGAGTCAATATGAGGATTCTGAAGTCCTAAAAGAAGATGAAAGTCACTTGAAAGAAAGAACTTAGTTTCCCAAATGTCTAAATGGAGTAGTCTTCTGGATGATCTGTGTTGAATTGTGAAGTGACTGTGGAGGAAACATGCATGACATTATACCACAGAGACATTAAGGTGGGCAAGATAGTATATCCAATCTATCTTGCTAATGCAATTAACTCAAAGCTTTGATGTTAAGAAAAAAAAGATAATATTTAATGTGCCAACACAGAAACCCATAGAGTTTAAGTGCTATACCCAAAGTTTCCCTTTACTTTCCTTTCTGTCTTAGTGGCAACACCTGTGAAGTTAAAGCTCATAGGACAATTCTTATTTATACAAATAGCAGTGTTTGCTTCATACTAGATACTGCCAACCATGAATATATGTGTTTAGTTTTCTAAAATTCAGAAATAATTGTCATCATCTTATTACTAATGAATCAATGGGGACATATATTATAAGAAACAGTAGATGTTATAGATATTAAAATAAAAACTATTGAAGAAAACCAAAAGAGTGATTAGAATTTGTTAGTATTTATTTAATACTACTGTACACCAGCCACTATGCTAGTCACTGAAATAATGGGTGAGGGAGGTATTGAGAAATACATTATTTACTAGTATTCAATGACTGCAAATATAATTGTTGGTTGATTATCTGGCTATATCTTAAATGTATTTAGTATTTTTTTTCTCAAAGGATGAAAGTTCTACCTAGTTTCTTCACTAATAATTCCTAATTTACTCACTGTATGAAAGTTTAAGTCCCTTTTATTATTCTTTGGCAGTCTGAGAAAGTTATGTATTAGGAAACACTGAATGTCACATTTTAAAAAATACAAGTGTATCTACAATATCCAAGCTATGGAAACAACCTAAGTGCCCAAAAATAGATGAGTAGAAATAGAAAATATGGTGCATATACACCATGGAATACTTCTCAGTCATAAACAGATGAAATCTTAACCATTTGTGACAACATATATGGAACTGGAGGGAGTTATGCTAAGGAAAATAAATAAGAAAGACCAGATGAGTTCAATTATATGTGGAATACAAAAAGCAAAGCAAAGGAACACACAAAATAAACCCTAGAAATCTTAGGTTAAGAACTGAGATTACCAGAGAAAGGGGGTGGCAAGTCCGGAGCCAATAGGTGAGTATGGATTATGGTTGAGGATTATTGTGCTTTGGTAATGGGTGTTGACTAGCTACTTACCTACTTAATAAATGACCATGTATCCCAAAATTATATACAGTGGTATAAAACAATGCTACTTCAGTAAAAGATAATTTAATAAAAAATTTAAAAAATAGATATCCAAAATATTTTTTTAAAAAACTGTGAATTCTTACTGTATTGAAAATCCAAGACTGAGTTTGTTTTAAAAATAAATAACAATCACAACAACAAAAACAAAAAATTATGATGTTGGAACAAAACCTGGAAATAAATAATTATAAATGTATATATATTTATTTTTATTATATATAATGTATATTTAAACATATTTATAGTTATAGATATGCAATATTCTTTATATGTAGAGAGAGAATATATTCTTAAACCATTAATAAGTATGCTTCACATTGTATGTTATCAAGGAAATGCAAACTCAAAAAAATGAGATATTGTTACACATTCCTTAGAATGGCCAAATCTCAGACAACATCAAATGTTGGTGGGGACACTAGAGCAACAGGAACTCTCTCATTGCTAGTGTGAAAGCAAAAGGCTACTAACACTTTAAAGACTACCTCTATGTCCACACAAAAAACTGTGCATGAATGTTTATATAGCTTTATCAATATTAGCCCAAAATTGGAAGCAATCAAGATGCCCAAGCTAAGGAAACAATAAAGAAAATCAGTAATTGCCACTGGTGATTTGGGGGGAGGGATATATAGGCAGAGCAAAGAAGATATTTAGGGTAGTGAAAATAACCAGTAGGATAACATAAAGATGGATATATTGCATTTGTTTAAATTCATAGATTGTACAATACCAAGAGTGAACCTTATAGACTTTGGTTCATTATAAAGTTCAGTGTAGTTTCATCCATGGTAGTAAATGTGTGATTCTGGTGAGTGAGTTGATAATGGGGGAGGCTATGCATATGTGAGATGGAGGCACAGGGAAAATTCTTTTTATCTTCCACTCAATTTTGTTGGGTACTAAGATTGCACTAAAATAATCTTTAAAAGAAAAAGAAGAGAAAAATTATGAAAATAAAATGGAAGATTTTTTGGTTCAAACCTGAAATGAAATTGTTTATCACTTAATGAATATTTTCTATTTTTAGCAGGAGTAAAAAATTACAAAAAAAAATTGAAAGAGCGCCTCCCCGGTGGCACAGCGGTTGAGCACTGGGTTGCGAAGCTGCCCACAGACTCTGCAGCGCCGGTTCGATCACCAGCTGCCAGGTGAGGGTCCCACATGGCGTGCAGACCTCTCCTGCCGCCCGCTGTCTGCTTGCTCTGCTCTCCCCTCTGGCTCTGGTGAATTTTCTCACCCTCCCACGCTTCTGACTGTACCCAGTGCTTGTATAAATAAATAAAATCTTAAAAAAAAAAATTGAAAGATTAGGGGCCTCCCTGGTGGCTCAGGTGGTTGAGCACAGCGCTGTGAAGCTGTCTGCAGCCTCTGCAGTGCCGGTTGCATCCCCCACGGCCACAGAGCAACCCACATGCGCGGCCGACCTCTCCTGTTGCGCCCACCCCTCCCCTCAGCAGTTTACCTTGGTCGATCTGCCTGTTCTGTTCCCCACTCTGTCTCTGGTGAATCCTCACCCTCCCGCACATCTGGCCTGTACCCCAGTTCTTGTATAAATAAATAAATCTTTTTAAAAAATTGAAAGATTAGCAGCTGATACAGAAATAGTCAACAGGGAGAGAAAGTGGAAGTGAATTTACAAATGATGCAAAAAGAGAAAAGAGAAACTCTTCACAAGATTAGGTAGAGGTTAGGAATAATTCTTTATATTATAGTAACATCTTAATACATATAATTATTTTAGGGGCTATCAGTTGACATGTGTGAAAGTGACCACTATAAAAAAAACCTGGGCCTACCCTGGTGGCCAAGCGGTTGAGCACTGGGCTGTGAAGCTGCCTGCAGCCTCTGCAGCACAGGTTCGATCCCCTGCCACCGGGGAGGGTTCCACATGGCGCAACAGATCTCTCCTGCCGGGCCCACTGCTCCCCTCAGCAGTGGGTTTCCTCAGTCTGCCTGTTCTGTTCCCTGCTCTGGCTCCGGTGAATTTGCTCACCCTCCCACGCTTCTGACTGTGCCCAGTGCTTGTATAAATAAATAAATAAATAAATAAATAAATAAATAAATAAATAAATAAAAAAAAATTTAAAAACCTATCGATGACTAACCTAAGAAATATTTTAGGACAAAAAGTTTGTCTTATTTATGTATCTAAAGAACCTTACAGAGTAGCAACTGTAATAGGTAGACACTTGGTAATAGTTTTGAACAAGTAAGGGAGTGAATTTTTAAGTAAAATAATGTAGGACTGTAGGACTATTTCTACTGTAGTACTGTAGGACTATTTCTACACAAATAGAGCTTCCAGAAATTAGCACACAAAGATATTCTTTTTTTAATGTAAAAATTATATTTCCTTCTCAAATTAAGGGAAAAAACCACGATCCTATTCTTTATTGATATCTGCTAAAACTATGGTCTTTTCAGGTATTTATTTATATAAGATCACCTTCCAGATGTGCTGTTCTGTGTCACATGGGAAACATTTATCTTCACGTGCTTCTAAATCTCTCTTACATGATTCATACTGAATTTCAGTCCAACCACCTTTAAAAAAATAAAAACAAACGTTCCCTAAGGTGCTTAAGTTCATGGAGTTCCAATACACCATATAAACTGCAATAAACCATATGCTGCAGGAGCATAGAATAAATAGCCCATTTAAAAAACTGAGCCGCCAAGAAAATTGAGATTCCATTTTTAAATGATTTTCTGCAACGTAAACATTTTTCAAGCTTGATCTTTGTGTAATTTTTTACTGGCACTTTCCAAGCTAGAAACAACCTGCACATGTTCTTTTTGTAAAGAAGGGTTTAATACTCCACTGTGTCACCAAGTCCCAGTGAGCTAATTTGTTCTAAAGACAACATTACTACATCAATACAACACAGCTTAACCTTCAAATAACCTTATTCTGTTTGCTTTCCACATCCCAACTGAGGATGTCAGCCAAAATGTCCCTTCAATTCTGGGTTCATTTCTCTCTAGGTGGAAAATACATGCACATAAACTATGCTGCCTTTGTATATCAGAGGAAAGGTAGCATTCACACAGTTCAAGCCTCCCGCCCACTCCCAGTCTCTTGTCTCTTATCTTACAGGATATGGAATTTCTTCAGGGAAGCAGAATGCTTAAGACAGAACTCTACTTTAAAGCAAAGTCCCAAAAGAGGAATTATGAAGCAGTCAGAACAAATCCCAATTCCGCTCCTCAGTGTTTGGGTGCAAATATATTTGTTTATTTATTCTGTTTTAAATCCTCTTTCTCTAGCACTTTCCCAAATAAGCGAACGATGACAGTACTCGAAACTAGCTCTTACCCCAATTTCATCCATTTCTCCCTTAGCTCTTCTTCTCTCCTAGATATAAAATAAAAGAAGCACTGAAAGTGCTTTGTTGAATTCACTAATTTAATGAATTTGTCAACATTTGAACCTTCTACAACTACATTTTCCTCTATGTTGACAAGGTGATGTTATTTTATGATCTTTCCCTAAAAATGTCATAAGACATTGGTTTGCTGAGATGGATTTGAATAACCTTATTCAGATTTTATGCTAATTAGACTTGTTGACAGGTTATCAATTTTTTGGCAAATTATTTCTAGTTAAAACTTGTAGGGTGGAAAAGACAATGTTCTGTATCTTATCTTGACAAGATCAATTTTATCAGTTAAGTGGTTTGCTCACTAATGACCTCACATCTATCCCAGAAAAACTTATGTGCTGTCACCTGGTATGTCTGTCAAAATGAGTTTGATATCTGTTGAGTAACAAGGAATATTTATTATTCTCAGAATTATGTATTTCTCTATAACCTCTTTCTTATGGCTATAAAAGAACTCATGGACTCTAGAAACCTTTTATTAGAAAAAAGCTTGACATTTTTAGCAGAAGATTACACTCTTCTACCACCATCATCTTGGTTTTCAAATGTCTTTAAACCAGTGCCTTCTGAAAATTTAGCAAGCTATATGATGTTTGGCAAACAGAGTAGCAATTGTAAATACAGTTTTATCTCATCAGAGTTGTCAGCGCACTATAGCAACTACTTTCTCAGGTCTTTAAGATTACAAATTAGGGCCTCCCCTGGTGGCACAGTGGTTGAGCTCTGGGCTGAGAAGCTGCCCGGAGCCTCTGCAGTGCAGGTTCGATCCCCAGCCACTGGGGAGGGTCTCACATGGCACAACAGACCTCTCCTGCCGCCCGCTGCTCCCCTCAGCAGTGTTTCCTCAGTCTGCCCTTTCTGTTTCCCGCTCTGGCTCTGGTGAATTCTCTCACCCTCCCATGCTTCTGACTGTACCCAGTGCTTGTATAAATAAATAAATCTTAAAAAAACTCTATAAAAAAAGATTACAAATTAAAATTGTTAGGTTCAGAACAATTTTCATTACTTACATGTTACAAAATTCTAATTCCTTGAAAACTCACAATGCTAACTATACAAATGCCATGCATTTTTGAGGAGAAAATAAGACATCTGATAAGTTGAATTGTTCCCTTCCAATATTCATGCTGATGTCTTAATCCCCGGTACCTCAGAACATGACCTAATTTGGAGACAGGATCTTTATGGAGACAATCAATTAAAATGAGATCATTAAGATGGGCCCTAATCTAATATAATTGGCATCTTTATATACAGAGGAAATGTGGATCCTGGCATGCAACCAGGGAGAATGTCATGAGATGATAAACAGGGAGATCTGCAAACCAGGAACACCAAAGGTTGCCAGCAAAGTACCAGAAGCTGTGGCGGGGGATTAATGAAACAGTTCTTTTGTCTGACCACAATTCTCAAAAGGAACCAATTAGCCTAACACCTTGATCTAGGACTCCTAGTCTCCAAAATTGTGAAATAATAAAACTGTTTTTGATGTTGCAGTCCTTTGCTATGGCAGACTTCGCAAACTTATACGACCGAATAAGATTGTCTCTATTTCAGAAACTTTCATGACTCTCAATGTGTGAATGAACTGATGTTTAAACAAACATCTCAGTCCATGATTTTATATACAAGTTTAACATTAGATTTATCTGTAAATTTTTTCAAAATACAAATACTCAAAATCTCATAATCTTCTGGATTTGACTCACTGATACAGAGATCAGAAATTGACATTCATAAGAAGTTCCAAAGAAAACTGATGCACATCTTGTTTTGAGAACCACCAGTGTAAAATAGTTATTGGCCCCACAGTTTGGGGTGCTATTCATTCCTTACTTTGGAGATGGATGCTCTGATTTAGTCAGCCCTAGGAGCTTCATGGCAATAACTTAGCCACACATTAGATTCATCTGGGGAGCTTTTCAAAAACCACAATTGCAGGCTGTACCCAGATCAAATAAAAAAGAATCTCTGGGGTGAGTTTCCAGACATCGGTATTTTTTAAATTTCCATGTGGTTATAATGTGTATTCAGAACTGAGAACCTTAGGCTTAAGTTTAAGAAGTAAAAGTGGTGGGCAATGACTAATCATCTAATTAACATTTCCAAAGATCAGTTAACTCTATGTAACCTAAATAAATCAACTAACACTCACCTCAAAATTTATTGAGACAATAGATCTCTACTTTGTTCTTTATTTCTCTGTAATCTCTCTTGATTTCTTTTTCTCCATCCACATATTCTTTTCCTTTACTTCTCTCATCCCAGCTAATTTCTTCTCCAAAAATGTGAAAACCTGAAACTGAAGTGATAAACTTGTATCATATTTTTTAGTGAAATTTTATCATCCCTGTTCTAATCTTGGAAATAGTTTGAGATGAAAGTTTATACTGTTTTAAGAACTAATAATATATACCAAAACTTTTTTTTTCACATATTTTCTTAATTGTACTCATCTTTTACTCCCTACTTACTTTTGAATGAATGATCTGGAACACTTTATCTTTGGGGTATTTCAAATAAAGTTGGATGAAATCTCAGGTATCTGACATTGAGTTCAGGAGCATCCAGGGAGGTGACAAAGTATTTCCTTTTCCAGATTTATTCCCCTTCTTTGACTCTGAGGAACTTGGAAGTATCTGGGGAGGTGACAACAGCTGCGAGAAGACAGTCAGAAAGTACCATACGTTGCACTCAGACAAGGCATGGAGAGGATAATGTTGAGTTGTCTTCCCATTGATGAAACTCTGAATGGTGCCAAGAGT